TACATCTTTTTTATTCTCATAAATCACGTTTTTTCAAAAATGTCTTTTTTTTATTTCAAATACATGCTATTAAAGGAGAATCAACTTTTATTATTTCAAACATTTCATTGTCAAAGAAATTTTTGTTTAAAATAAATGTTGACATGATCATTCATTTCTTCTTTGAAATGATTCATTCCACAAAATCATGATCGAAGTTTACATGCCATTTTTATGGCAGAGTCTGTGCTGTATCCCAAGTAGTGGCCAAGTGGCAGTCTATATCATGTGTTGTTGCCAGGGCAGGCTTCCAACTGGACTGTTGTAGTAGTGCTTCAGGTAAGTTCTCAGCTTCTTGCCCTCTTTGTTTGCCTGGTAGCCTCCGCCAACTCGTTCAACATCCTGCAGAACTGCTGCGTTTCTCCATGCCCCAGGGATGTGGTTGCCCAACTCATCTTCATGGTCAACGTCAATGTTCTGAAGCCCAGGAAAACGATCTCTCATTAGGTTGTGGAGGCACATGCAGGCCATAATGACTGTCCTGGCTTTTTCTGGATCAAGCTGTAGGGTACTCAACAAGCATCTCCAGCGATGGGCAAGGATGCCAAAGCTGTTCTCCACCACACGGCGAGCCCTCGAGAGACGGTAGTTGAAGATTCTCTCCTCGTCGGTCTGCTCACGGTTGGAGTACGGCTTCTGCATCCATGTCCTGAGAGGGAAGACGTCGTCCCCAATTAAGAAGTAAGGGGTGTCTCGGTCATCATCCGGCAGGGGATCTGGATCTGGCAGGCCAAGAGTACCATTCTCCAGTCCATGTCTCAGCGGGCTGTGGTTGAAGACCTGGGCATCCAATGATGAACCGGGATTACCAACGTCAGCCCAGAGGAACTCGTAATTGCCATCAACTAGGGCCAAGAGGGTGAGGCTGTAGAAACCCTTGTAGTTGTAGTAGATCGTACCAGAGCCTGGTGGATTTCTGATGGCAATGTGTTTTCCGTCCAAGGCTCCGCAGACATGATGAAAGTTCCATGTGTCAGCGTAAGTCTGGGCCACTTCGCTCCATTCATCTGTGGTAATTGGACAGGAAAATACTTCATCTTGGTATTCACTGATGATGGCCAGGCACACCTCTGGTATAAACAGAGAGATGGTATTATGGGCAACACGGAAGGCATACTGCAGGGTTTTGTAGCTGTTGCCGGTCGCAAGATATCTCAAGGTGATGGCCAGTTTGAGTCCAGGATCCAGTGGTTGTCGGTAGCGATAGGACTTCTCTATCCTCGGAGTGATGCGCTGCAACAGTACAAGGAATGTTTCTGCTGGCATCCTCATGTAGTTTAGGAAGTCACCCTGCAACTCCGTCATCAGATTATCATACTGTCCAAACAGCACACGTCTCTCAATCCAGGGTTTGACCCACCATCTTCTTCTTTGCCTTGCATGTCTTTGACGTCTACGGATGAGTAAGGCCATCAATATGACATGTCTGTCTTGAACGTTTTGGATTTGCCTGGTCTGACTTAGCAAATGCAAGAGCCTCCCAGGAGCTATTGGTCGAGCAGCAGCCATGTTTACAGTATGGATGGTCCAGACATTTGGGATGAAAGCTCAGGAGTTCTCGAGCTTACATTGGGGGTGAAAAAATCGTACAACGTTGCAAAGGGAGCAAGACAGGTCTTCCAATAGTCTTAGGGTGGTACAACGGACTCGTACGACATGACGCATCATCGTACGACACTCGTGCAACACTCGTTCGGGGTCTTACGAGTGCGTACAACACTCGTACTGCCTGTCGTGCAATTATTTTTCATCGCGTCAGTCGCTCAAAATATCGGAGCAGCACGGTTTTTTTCCCGACCGAGATCTTTCTACTGAAGACAACGATTTAAATCCACTTATGCTCTCCCACTTGGTCAATGGAAGAAATATTTGCTGTTTACCAAGGCACCAATCCTAACTCCAATTTTGCCACAGATCATCAGTCAGCCAACCGGCGCTATGCATACTTAACTACCTTGTTAATCGCATTTTGGAAAGGATGGTCTAACGAATATATCGTTTCTCTGCGAAAACGACACCTTAATCAACACAGAGGAGTTAAACTCATCACAGTACGTGTCGGCGACATAGTTCTTATTCACAACGATGTGTGTAAGCAGGTACACTGGCGTGTGGGTCGTGCTGTGAAATGGTTCCACAAATCAATCTATAACTCGACTGATTCCATTTCAATTGTCTACTGAATCTGAGACCGAATCACATCTAACCCGAGATTTGATTTCGAAACCCAATATGAATATTGATCAACGAAAAGATGAACTAGCCAGAAGAACACACACAAGCATTCCCGTCGGGGACGGTGACCAAAGGACACACGCAAGTAGCTCCAATGGGAGCGGTGGTGAATCCATCCAGCCACGACGATCGAAAAGAGCGACGGCTCGCATAACTGAACGAAGAATTGAAAGTGTGATCCAGCGTGATCTTGTGTGACACTAATGATAATAACTTTTATTTCATAATTGACTTCATGATGTACTTTTGTCAAACACCTTTGCATGTAAAACTATAGTTTTGTGTTTATTCATGCACATTGTTATTATCATTATCGCTTTATTATCGTGGAAATGGAACGTGCCTCATTCGAAAAATTATGCTAGACACATCTTTTCCGCGGCGGGAGTATGTCGGGGATGAGTTTGAATGATAATTTTTTCCACTCAATATTGTTTTAGTTACGTTTATTGCCTGTTACTCGACTCTTCGCTTTACGAGTACATTGATATTTCATGCGTTCGTGATGGCGCCGAAGCGTTGTTACATTGTTTCAAATTTCCAGTTGGTCGCGTGCAGGTCGTGTGCGGCATTTTTCAGTCTCATCTTAGTGAGCAGTGTATTTTGAGGTGTATGTTTCACCGCTGAATAAAGATCCATTGACAATAGATCTGCTCCCTATCTATTTCGGGAAACCATCAAGTGTTTTGTGGGACACACTCAAGCATATACTTTTTTCTCAACCACATATACATCTGATTACAAATGTTGGTGTCAGTTATTAAATCTCCTTTACTTTTGATACTATATGAGTTTATTATTCACTCCCACCTACTGATCATACACTACAAAGTTATTTGGTCACAAGTATATGCAATTTGATTGAATATATTATGCATTTAACAATGCATTCATTTGCAGTTTAGTTGTGATTAGATAACAAACCACGAACTTGCAGCCACCATGCTTGTTGATCACATTACTTTATCTTGGGCATGAATAACATACCCCGAATTGCAATAAGGAATGTGTCATTAACAATGACATGTTATTAAATATCTTGGCTCGTCTAATTATTTCCAAACAAGAATTTGTGTTTATATGGTTGGTTAGTTCAATTTTCAGCTAGATAAGTAGCGGCCTAAGATGTACATTGCAAGGACGATATGTGGGATAATATGTGCTCATGCAAATACTTTTAATCACCTTGTGGTCAGTTTCCAAATTGTATTTCCACCACTGGAGAATAAATATATTATCAGTACATATACATACATATATAATTATTTGCTGGGCAAACATTATGAGATGATTTCGGAAAACAGCAGTGGACATTTCAGTGATATGTACACATCATGTTGATACACAAACAGTGGAGACATTCATGTTCACTCTTGTTAATACGATATACCCAGGACATACCGGGTCACTCCCTTAAAGACTATTAACTATATGTCATTGCAGGTGGGGTTGACGAGTGTTTTTGGAAAGACAATGGCTCTGACTATAGAGGAACGCATTCTTTCACATATTTGAATAAAGAATGTGTTTCATGGAATAATTACTGGACTTATATGTTTCCTGAATTGAATGTTGCTATTGTCCACCGGATACAAAATCAGGGTGTTACAGATCAACCTCACTGCAGGAATCCATTCGGTATGACGGAGAATGTCTTCTGTTTACATGATGAATTCAATATGGAAGGATGCGATATCGGCAAGCCGGGAGTTAATTGCCGTAAGTTCAACTATAATACTGATCAATACTAGAATGTGTATAGATTAAATGAACATAACAGTTTAATTGCATGAAATGTATTAAATTATTTATAATTAAATTGACATTTGCTCATGGAAGTTGTGCCAACCTAGCTCAATGTGTTGTTTTTCATAACTCCAAAGCTAAGTCATGCAAGAAAGCTTGAGCTTCTTTTGTAAAATGAAATTTAATAACAGTTAACAGCTAGCTAGAAACTATGATGCCTCAATAGATCATGTGTGACAGAGTTGGTTCACGCAAAAAATATATTCAAACGAATTATAAAAACTGTGCACAAAGAGTACACATTGGATTGAATCGGTTTATGTATTTTTGCACGATTTATGTATTTGCGAGGTAAACACAATAAGAATGTGCAGTGGGCGAGCAGAAAATCTGAAAATAAAACTTTGTTCAGTTCAACACATTAACAAGCACTTTAAAAACCTTATGTATGTACAAAATAAACCTTTTAACAACTTACGTATTCTAGAAATCATATAGTGCTGGAAATATATAATTGTTCGAAACACTACTTGTATGTAAGTAGTAATTTTATTTATACAAAATAACAAAAACGCAGAAAGATATAACAGAATCATTTGCTGTAAAGCTAGTATAGTTACCATGTTCGTTAGCAGGATCTTACTTTAGTACGTGCGAAGAATGTTCATTAAACAGCAAACAATGACCATTAAATCAATTATTTTGTGGAACTGTGTGAAATGTAATGCTGTGTTATTTTATCTAATATAGCAGTCCGGCTTTCACTGACCATGCATAACATGAAAGTAATTACCATATTCATTCGGGAATTCAACATTGTAATATTATGTTTATCTACTAAATATGTAACGTACATTACAACATTTATATAGTGTACATTTCAAATGTAAAGATCATTAATAAATTTTGGTTTTAGGAAAAACATATATCACACTGCACAACATATCACACGAATTTTCTTAGACACAATATTGTTCCACAACTTAACCCAAACGAGTGACATTAAGGGCAGAGATGAGGGTTAGAGAAATAGTTTATTCAAACTAGTCTAGTCTATGGCCAGCAATCCCTTTAAGATATTGAGAAGTAAAATGTAAACTTTGTTAAAAGTAACATTTGTTGAACAAAATAACTTTGTTTACAGACTATCCGAAGACCAATTTATGTGATTCCAATCCGTGTCTCAATAGTGGAACATGTGTGCCTTTATTTGATTCCCACACGTGTGTGTGTCCCATTGGTTTCACTGGTACAAACTGTGAAACAGGTAGTTAGAACCATGCAATACGTTTTTCTTGACCGTCGAGTATCCCATAAAATACAATTGGTTGTCTCCTTATGCATCTATAGATAAATTAAAAAGTGAATAAAAAACCTAGCTTTTGAAGTTATCAGGAATATTCTCGAATTTGAACATGAATATGATGACATTCGATTTAGATTCTTGTTTGTTTGTTGGTACACATATATTTAGGAATATATTATGCTAGATGATAATGCTAAAGATGCATGTCTGACATCAGGGGGTCTATATTATG